AATGAATTCTATTATTGTATTAGTGCGAATGTCGGCTTAGTGCAGGCGCCTGCATAATGAGTGTATTTAGTCTGTGCGCGTTTGCTCTGTTGATCGTTGTTATATTTCGCGTGTGTTAATAAAATCGATGCCAACGGAGTACAGTTATAACGGTTTAACGCGTTTTTTTCGTGTGTATTGTTAAATTCCATATATATATATAAAATAGTGAATTATTTTTCCATTATTTAAATGGAATAAATAAGAAAAAATATGTTTATTGAGCAGAGCTTTTTTCACAAGCAATACAGGCGCATAATAGAGCTTGAGAGCATGAGAGCGAGAGAGCAGCTACAATTAAAACGAATAAATGAAGCTTTCGTTGTCTCTGCAAAAGGAAAGGTATTAATTTTGTTTTCGTTTTAAATTCTTATACTTACATATGTCAATTTAGAAGCGAACAAAATAGCAAAATGTTCACAAAAACTGCTGATGAGGCAACACACATCGAGGCAGCTTACGCATTATCATGCAAACTAACTAAATTAACATTCCGTATAAATGCATTTCTATACAAAGTACAAACTGAGGGCTGGGTAGTGTGTCTGAAAATTTGAAATACCTTCAGCGCCTTTCAAGTGCGTGACATTAACAGTTGAATGAAATATTGAAAATTGCATGAATGAATGAAAGACATTGAAAGTGAGAGAGTGCGAGCAGCAGATAAGGAAAGAGAGTGGGAGTGAAACGGAAAGCAGGCACTCGCAATGTAGGTTCGTCTCGGCTGCAACTCATCATCAACGTCATTTGCAAAGTTCGCGGCAGAAGAGCACAAATTTGGTGTACCCTGTACCCATTAAAAAGTGTTAAAGTGGGTGTATTGCAGCAGAAGGAAGTATCTCCAACTCTTTTAGAGTATATGTGTAAGCATATGTCATGGGTCCGCCCCAAAAGGCGAGTCAATTTAGCCATGTCCGTGCGTCAGTCCAATTGCCTGTCTGACAACTAACTTTAGTTATATGTATCTGTATGCCATACGCAGATGAAGTTAATTTCAAATTGTCGATAACTGCACAGTCTTATTATTTTTCGGAGATTCTGGAATCTTAAGATACCAAACACCTATTAAAAATAGTTATTTTTTTATATACCTTTCATCAATAAAAACTACTAGTTTTTTATTTTGATTTTGTTTGCTCGAATCGGGACACAGGGTATTTCTTAGTCGGTCACCCTGCACAAGATAGTTCTCACTTGTTTTTTTTGTTGCTGCCGTCGGCATCAACAACTACAACAACAATCAGGCAACAGCTTCAGTTACTTTTAGTGGCATGCCCCCATCTGTAGCAACGTCTCCAGCTTGTCCTGCCACGTCCTGTCGCGTCCTGCATAAGTGCCGAGTGCTTGCCGCAAATAAATTTGATTTGCATGTGCAAATGAACGTGGAATTGAATTTTCTTATGCATGAAATGTGCGCATAATTGGTCTATGGCACACACATACACACACATACACACACAAAAGCATACACAGACATCCGCAAGAAGAGGCACTGCCAACATGCTGTTTAGCCTTTTACCACTAGACAAGTGCCCCAGTTGTGGCATAGCTCGTAATTGCTTATGTATAAATTTCAATTCACAAATAATAATTTTTGAGTATATTTGGATTGCAGTTAGGCGCAAATGGATATACAAATATAAAGACTAACAGTATTTATTTGGATTTTTTTTAGAAAGGATAGAACAACCGTTAGAAATTGTCATTCTTAGTACCGATTAAGAATGGGGAAAAAATATATGTTTTCAAAATTTAGTTATAAACAAATTCGGAGATTATAAATTAAGATCAAGTTTTTTTCTGTACATAAAAAAAAAAAGAATAAAAATTGTATAATGGAATAAAAGCATTACATTACATTATAAAAACTTTCTAATTCCAGATCAGTATTAATTTATAGAAATGTTCGGCAGTTTGTTTGGGTGAAAAGTGAATCTCAATTGGATATATTAAGTAAGGTAGGTAAATTTCCATGTTTTTATGAAGTATATTTTAAATTTAAGGCGGCATATCTTCATTTATCCTTAGACCCCCAAAATGAAAACCTAAAATATACCCTCTTCCCTAAGTTGTGTTTATATTTTTATTATTATAAGATTGTGCGGCAAAGATATTGCCTTTGAAATGAATCTTTTTTAGTTGTGTAAGGGTTTATCGAAGTTTTCTTAAAGGGAAAACGGGAAGTTGATTTTGATCGATTGGGGAGAATGGCAGGTGTTATCAATATCCTCTCAACTTTTCTGTCGTCCTTACCATTCATATATAGATATATTATGAGACGTTGTCTTCTGAGCCCATTCCGTCTTAAAAAGATTCTTAAGGAATGCTTAAAATAGTTTGTTATGGATTCTAAGCTATAGTGCAAAATTATAAGATTTTGCGTTCTCTTTAACTGGCTAGTAAATACTCTATATTCAAAATAATTAAGTAGATTCTAATGATGTTCAAGTATATTTGAAGCTCTTATTGCTCTGCACTCAATTAATAATTAATTAAATGCTCTGCAGAGTTTTAAATGTCGCGACATCTCCTTCAAAAGGATTAAGTGGGTGGCAATAAAATAAATACAAAAGAGAACATAATTTGTATTATATAATAGACAACGCGCCTTGTTCAGATTGAATCAAGTGCCGGGGAGGTGCCATGTGTTTGACATTTGTTATTGCCCACTTAATAGGGTGTTAAGTAGCGAGGAGCACTATGTATAATGCCCATCGTACTGCCATACTTGACGGACTTGTGGAAATACAATGCCCACTGTGGAGTGGCTGGCGGGGGGGCAGCAACTGCACTCGAGAACTTGAATAATTAAAAATACAATATGTAGTGCAAACAGTTGGGCAAAACTGGAGCGTTCTGCTGTTGGCTGAATGGCAGCCAGTCCTGGCTGCACTTAGCCAAAGATATCCACTTACAGGACTCAACATCCGAACATCCAACCCACTGACAAGGGAAGTCCTGACAAGCTGTGCAAACAATCGAAGCAAAGGCTCGACAAAAATGCAGCCCGTGCCGTGATTTCTTTGCAGGCAAACGTGAACATTCCGTGCAGATGCTCGCACATAGCGTTTATGGGTCAACGCCAGGAGTAAGACGTACATGTGGGGATGAAAGGACCTCCGGAAACTAGAGAGGACAGCGTGAAAATGTTTCAGAAACTAGACACAAATGTGTTCCCCGATGAAAATGTAGCAAAGTGTGGCGATCTTGAATGAAGAAAAGATGCGTTATGAAAGGCAAGGAATCGAAATTTGAATAAATCCGACATAAGTTATATTGTGCTCAAATAAAACATGCAGCTTATATTTGGCAAGTTTAAGTAAGATTTTAATAAGAAATACTTCTTTGGAACGATACTCATTTTGACTTTGCTTGAAATCCTCAAGTATTTAAAAATATGAGCTGGATTTTTTAAATAATTCCTTTTCACAAATTGTATATATGACCAATTTTAACAACAGTGCTTTGATAACTAAGAATGTGAAAATATTATTAGACAGATGTCAGAAGCAGTTATACTAATATGATATGAAAAGTGTATATATCTCTTAGAGGTATACTGGGGATGTATGTATTCTAATCCTATCTTCCACTTTTTGTCTTCAATCTCACATCACTAGCCGAGGGACATTTTCGTTCGTGCGGCAAAGTCGCCATCGTCATTGTCAACGGTTTTTGGCTTTGTTTTGCTATCTTTGCCGCTGCCGTTGCCTGTTACGGTTACGGTTACCGTTAGCGTTCCCGTTCCCTTTATTGTTACTGCTGCTCTTGCTGTTGCTGTTACTGTTACTGTTTTATTTATTATTTGCGCTCATTTGAGTCAATTACGACAAACGGAGATTGTTAATTGTTTTGCTGCTGCTGCTGCAGCGGCTGCCGCTCAAGTCCAAGGCAAACAAGTCACATCCTGTCCATCGGTAACAGGGGGGGTGTGGGGCGCACTCCATTTTGTTTTCTAGTATTTATTCGTTTGCCTCTTTTGCCTTTGTTTCGCTGTTGCTGCTGCTGCTGCTGCGGCAGCTTCTCGGCTGCTGCTTATTGTTTGCCTTTTGGTCTCTGTTGGCCTTTGTTTGTTTGCTTTTGGCCAATAAACGGTTTCTCCCCTATGGCTCTGCTTGCCCCCGCTGGCCACCCACTGATCTGCAGCGCGTTTAATGGCGCGTTGAACGTTACATTTGCTCATCGTCTGTACCACGCCCCTCCTCTCTCTCTCTCTCTCTCTCTCTCTCTGTCTACTCTCTTCCACGTTTCAGCTGTTTTTCTTGCTGCTCGACTTGTTGTCGTGTCTCTTGCGTAAACTTTAATTGGCTGTCAGTTCACTGAGGTAAGTTTTAATTAATTTTTTCGACCATGTTTAATGTGTGGCTGTGTAGGTGTATCTTCATCTTAAATGGGTGCCTCTACTATGTGCACTTCTCGGCGGCTAAGTGGTGCGTTAAGCTGGGCACTCAAATGTTTTGCTAATTGTTCTGCCAACATTTTGTGCGGCCCAGGGGAGGCTCTGGAGGACGTACTGCTTAAAGGTTGTCAATCTTTGGAAATTTATATTTCTTATGCTTGAACAAAAGTCTTATTTGACTTTTATGGGCTTTCTTGCAAAAGTGAACAAAATATTTGCTACTCTCTTAAAGATGTTTTGAAGACTATAATGATAATGGCATTTTTATGGATATTAAAATGTATTTCTTATAGGTTGCAAAAAATGCTGGTGTATTGCTTTTGAGCAATGGTCAGTCTATTCGGCTGAATATAGAGATTTATTGAGTTATTTGTATCGGACCTAACATTTGCCCTCACAGCCTTAATCCAAGGGTCCCCAAATTGAATGGGTACATTTTGGATTTTGCAAGTCATTGCCATACTAACCAAACAAAAGAATTCTACTTTTACACTTATTCACTTTAACTTTCTTGTTCCAATTAACGTTTGACTATGCATTCTATGAATTAAAAGGATTTACGTTTTAATTTCTACGGAATATTATATTTCTTTGAATCGGCGAAAACTAATTTACAAATATTGGACGCCAAAATTGCAATTTTGATAAATTTTTGAATTTATACAAATCTTATTCATGTTTTGTAGGGTTGCCAATTATTCCAAACGTGGAATTTTGCGAGAACCTGAAACGATATAAAGGAATTCAATTTAGAATGCAACTACATTTTACAGAAATATTTATATTTTTCAAGATCTTGTTTGCAGTTCAAGCTCTCAATTTGTATTGTGGAATCTGTACTTACCGATTTGCCACATCTTTTGGTTCTTACTGTTTTCCTTAGATATAATTTTTTCTGGCTCATTCTTTTTCTTTAAGTGCAGTTTTTCCTGATTTTTTTTCTCAGGAGGTTTTATAAGTTTTTCAACCTTGCGGCTTCGTTTGCTTAATATAGTCTTATCCAATTCGCTTAGATGCTGCTGATCATATTCACTTAACATACGTAATGGTATCTTCATTTGCCAGCGCCTAACAAAGCCACTGGTCTGTGGCCTAAAGTCGACTAAGCAGCGGTTGTTTTCCATACCATGGAACCGCCTGAGATTTTCGACTTTATAATGATTTTTAGTTGAGCTCATAACCTCATGGGCCATGATTTCTTTTAGTTTCCTTGACAAAGTGGGTTCCTGTAAGTCTTCTCCAGTTAATACTTTTTCTTGCAGTTTCCGCCTCTGTAGATAGTGCTCCTTGAGTATCTCATTGCATTTGCGGATCTGCTCGGCAGCCAGGTGGCTCTCAAGCCGTTTCTCTGTAATGGGCATACCATGTCGTGATCTTTCCTCATGGATCAGACTAATTGCAGAGCTTTTGCTTAAGAACTTGGAGTAATTGGGTTCGGGTATTGGTTTCTTCAATTGCTTAAAAGATGTCACATAACGATGTGCGGAGTAACCTGAATAAGGAGCTGCAATTTAAATTAGAATCTGCCCAAGCTGTCCAAGCTATGGCACTTACTGTTTGGGAATCTTTTGGTTAAGCCAAAAAGGCTCATACTGTTAATTTTATTAATATTTTTGGCGGCCATTTGGAAATTTATAATTTTCAGATGGGCACTTTGTGTACGCTTTACAATTTTGGCTAACTCCTAACAGTTGATTTCAAATGTTATCTGGTTGTAGCAGATGTGACTACACGAAAATTTTTCTTTAGTTTAGGTAAAAATTTATATTTTGTTATAACTTTGGCCTACTCTGCTTGTTGAAAGCAATGGAAATAGTTGTCTTTCCAAATGTCAAAAAATACTTGGGAATTGAAAGTGAATTTCGGCCATGTACTCAAAAAATTACGCGTAACTGGCAAGCAGATCCTAACTAATGTCACCTAATGCACAACGATGCGCTTCATTAGCGAAATATCCAGCCTAATGTCCATTAAGCACCTTCCAATTGAGCCCAAAAGAAAAGTGCATTAAGTATTTTGTAATATTTAATGTTCGTCGAAAAGGTCGGCCCCACCTTAGTTGGCAAAACTTCGGTATGACTTAAATAATCCTTAACCGACCATCATCATCATTATTGCGATGACGATGATTATCATCATTATCAACATCTTGTTGTAGCAACCATGTCCAGCAATCGCACCCGAAACGTGCTGCTGCTCCTGGTCTTACCTGGCATCTCGTTTAGAAAAATTGCTCACGCACGGTGTCGTTTTGGATGGTTGGCGGTGTTTCGGGGCTGGGCAGAAGGAGGATTTTAAGTGCTGGCAGTTCTGTGGTCTGGCTTGCTCCTGATTTTGTTTACCATTTACCGTTCAACATTTTCTGCTGTGTATCGTTCGTCGCCTAAGCGCATTAAAAGTTTTCTTCTTTCATTTTTTTCCTTTCGGCGATTTTCCTTTATTCGTGCACTTTATCGAAAGCACATCACGTAGTGCACCTGATTTGCTGACAATCCTTGGACATTCTAAATAGGCAACCGGCACAGGCTTAAGACTGGACTCAAAGCTTCTACTCGGGCTGCATACGAAATTCATGCAACGCTTTGTGGCATCGTTTCAATTAAGATTAATTGCCTTCAGTAGTTAATAATTTCGCTCGCTTTGATAAATATTTAAAACACCTCATGAAAGTGTCTCACTTTAGGGATCCAAAGTTAATTTACAGCCTAAATGGCCCAGAATATTTTTCGAAATATTCTGCTAATGGGTCTCGTCGTTTAAGGGAATTTTAGAAAATGTGAGTATGCTGAAATTTGAAATTTACGAAGCTCCAAGTTGCTTGAAGCAGTCATAACTCTTAAGGGTACCAAAAGGCAATAATGTTCAATATTTGTCGATATAGATAGATAGAAACATCTAATTGAAAATACAATTTATATATAATAAAATTGCCCTGGACTTCGTTTTTTCATGCACAACGAATTCTTCATGCAAAAAAGAAACATATATAGAAAATATATAATCAGTTAATACGATTGAATATATTAAGAAATATGATGGATAGTAGTAGAGCCGTTTATTTGACATGAACAAGAAATATGATTAAATATTAAAGTATGTGGGTCAGAGTTCAATGGTACACACACTCTTCTGTACACGAAGCTATCCAACAATACAGATTTCCTCTTCTGAACTTCACCCTAACCACTTTGGGTCTGTGTGTTTTGGCCAGCTTTGTTACATTTCACTCCTTTGGTCACAGTGCGTCATGTGCTTGGGCTTGCACCTGCTTATAGGGCAGAAAGGCGAGCTATTGCATTGAGTGCGACTCGTTGTTAAAATTGACTTCAATGCTTTCACATCAGCCAAGTAAATCTGTTGGGCTTGTTGTTGTTTTGTGGCTGGTAATTGTAAGCGAAGCTCGGCAGCCCACACGAACGTCAAACAGAACTGGCCATCATTTTGGATAATTGGTTTTCCATATCTTTGAGCTATGGCTATGTACAAGGAGGTGCAAACGTGTGCGTAGCTATATATAGCGCAAGTGGCAGCTAAAGCTGCAGATCCTCTTACATAGACACCATATATGACAGAGAGATGAGTTTATATATGTGCATAAAAACGACGATTATAAAAAGATCTACTTATGTGATGGGCAGAATGAAAGAGAATCCTAAATAAAATTCTTTGACATTGAGCATTTGATATAAAAAGGTTGTCAAAAAATTTATAAATATTTATATTTATTCATTAACTGAAAATTCTCCGAAGAGGTTAATATTAGTTAAGCTCAATAATTGGTAATTATAGTTTTATTTTCGGTGAAGTTTAGAATGAAAGTAATATATATAGTTAATATATATTTGTAATATTGTATTTTATTCTGTTCTATTATACTGCAATGAAAAAGTGTAAAAATCGGTTTACAAAATTTCTTAATTTATTTTGTCAAGCGCTTAAAATGGTAAGCCATTGGGAAATGCAAATTTACCCAGGTAGCTACGGTAAAAGGAACTAAATAGCATTAATAAACTGTGAAATTGAAAAAATTGTATACGTTGCAGAGCTGTGCAAACGCCATGCTCCATTAGTGTAGACCAACACACGGAGGTTTGAACCGCAGCAGACCTAAGGCCTATTCCATGCCCAAAAACCCGAGCCAAACTTGCGACTCAGCAAATCAAATTGAAGGACCGTGCGCGTATCTATGGCCAAAGCTTGCCCAGCAGCTAACAGCTTTTGCATAAAATTGACAATGCATTAGGAGAATAGAAGGAGTGCATCCTTTATATGTAACTATGAAAGTAAATGGCTTGGTGGGAGCCGAGTTTGTGTGTCAATTAGTTTATATTGCAATATATTTTTGGCTATATTGACTATTTCACATAGTTTAGATTGAGGGATTACATCAAGTAGGCCTCTATCTCAAACGAAAGAAGTATATATTGTATGCATTTCTATTTTAATAGGTTGCTTAAATTACACTGAAAATTTGGGTTGTATGTCTAAATATTTACGCTAGCTTTGTTCTAGTCTCAAGTTGTAGTCTTGGGCGAGTACCTAGATTTCATTCGGAAGATATTCCTAACAGCACCAGCCATTGTCAATGCAGCATGCATTGCAGTCGTATAGATAAATGCAGGGACTACAGCATGTTGAGCAACATGCGCAGTCACAGGATATATAACAGCACAGAGTACAGCAGGGGCTGCAGCAGGTACTGCAGCACGGACTGCAGCACGGACTGCAACATGGGATACAGCAGGGGCTACTGCAGGCACTGCTGCAGGGGCTGCAACACGGGCCGCAACAGGGATTGCAGCAAGAATAGCAAGGAGAGCACATCTTGGTAATTGAAGACGGTTATCGCTAATAGAAATAAGTTAATTGATGTTAAATGAACGTCAAGATTCTTACTCTTGAGGGAAGTTCTTCACAAATATAGGAACTGCATATTTGCAAACGAATGGTGTGAGTGTTGATTGGGTTGCATGGCGCCCTCGATTGTCAGAGGCCAAAAGTTCACACAAACGATATCACAAATGTATAACCACACGAAAGACTAGAGCCTGCAATAAGACATATGAGTACAGAATTATTATTATATTTTTATTAAATCAAATTGTATACTCACATGCTTGCAGACAGTCATAAAAACTTACACAAACATATATAGATGTTAATGGAACAGTAGCCAAAAGAATTATGATAAAAGGTTGATTTGTAATGCTATAGTTGAAAATATTATTTCAAGGCTTGCTTATCGGCTCTTCATTTCATGCTTTGGAAAAAGGTATTATAAAACAAAGAAGAATCCATATCCTACAGCTTGAAGAATGCATACCTATTCAGGATATATATTTCTGTAGAAACCAACGAATCTACTTGGTAAAAAACTATATTGACAATGCTTTAGATAGGTACAACTACTGTATCATCAAATTGCTTTGGCCCCACAAACAAAATTTTGTTTTCTTATTTTTATATTTTGCAATGAGGTTTCCTCAAATTGAAAAATCCGCAGGTAAACAAAAGTTGGATACTGAAAGTGCTTTTATCGCTACCTCAAAGAAAACTTGTTTTCTTGAATATATCCACACACATTTACAAAAGTAGATAAGTGTGGAATAGAAGAAACATTGACCTAAAAGGAACGCTATTGCTTAAAAATATAAAGACCAAAGACCACATTAGTGTCCATGGCTACTATATATATATCACATTTGCTGTCATTTTTTGATATAGTACGTAATTGACAGTAAAAACAATTAGAAAAGCAAATACTCCACATACCAATATTATGTCTTTGTCGACTTGTATATAAATAGCTTAGCATAACGAAACAGAACAGTACTTCTCACATGCTCGCCATGGTAAGTCGCACAGTCAAAAGTCAATTTCAACACAAAAACTTCTTAGAGAAATTATCAGTTTTTCAGGTATTTGCTGGTCTTTGCAATATTTGCATTTTGCATGGCAATGGTTAAATGCCGTCCAGATAGATTACGGCAAATTCAATTCAGGCAAGGCGGGCCAACAACCACAACTACAATTAGTGACCTTTGTATAACACATCCTAATATACCTCCTTGTCGCACTACAACTACTGTGACAACTCCAACAGCAACTACTATACCTACAACCACAGTAACAACTCCAACAACACCAGCCCCAACCACAGTGCCAGTAACCACAGTGGCAACACCAACGCCAACTAGCACCACTACAGAAACTAGTGACCTTTGTACAACATTTCCTAATTTACCAATTTGTCGTACCACACCGACTACAACCACAGTGACAACACCAACGCCAACCACAGTAACAACATCAACCCCAGTGACTACACCAACGCCAACCACAGTAACAACACCAGCCCCAGTGACAACACCAACGCCAACCACACTATCAACACCAACCCCAGTGACAACGCCAACCCCAGTGACAACACCAACGCCAACCACACTAACAACACCAACGCCCCTGACAACACCAACGCCAACCACACTAACAACACCAACCCCAGTGACAACGCCAACCCCAGTGACAACACCAACGCCAACCACACTAACAACACCAACGCCCCTGACAACACCAACGCCAACCACACTAACAACACCAACCCCCGTGACAACTCCAACGCCAACCACACTAACAACACCAACGCCCCTGACAACACCAACGCCAACCACACTGACAACACCAACCCCAGTGACAACGCCAACCCCAGTGACAACACCAACGCCAACCACACTAACAACACCAACGCCCCTGACAACACCAACGCCAACCACACTAACAACACCAACGCCCCTGACAACACCAACGCCAACCACACTAACAACACCAACCCCAGTGACAACTCCAACGCCAACCACACCAACCCCAGTGACAACACCAACGCCAACCACACTAACAACACCAACGCCCCTGACAACACCAACGCCAACCACACTGACAACACCAACCCCAGTGTCAACACCAACGCCAACCACACTAACAACACCAACGCCCCTGACAACACCAACGCCAACCACACTAACAACACCAACCCCAGTGACAACGCCAACCCCAGTGACAACACCAACGCCAACCACACTAACAACACCAACGCCCCTGACAACACCAACGCCAACCACACTAACAACACCAACGCCCCTGACAACACCAACGCCAACCACAGTAATAACACCAATCCCAGTGACTACACCAACGCCAACTACGGTGCCGACACCAACGCCAACCATAATCTCAACCACCACAGTAACCACTCCAACTTCTTTGCCTACAACGACAGTGAATTCTGGAGGAGAGCACGAGCACCACAATCATCACCACATTCATAATCACCATATACCTGCATTTCCTCTTCCGCTTCCTTTGCCGGTGCTTTCCATACCGCCGCCACTCCACCTACCGCCGCCACCCCAC